CACAATTTCAGCTTTTCAAAGAAACCCATCTAGGAGTTTCTAGGAACAAGACTGCAAGGAGATTGAGACAGGTGTGTTGAGCCCACTTCCATCTGCACTGGGCGCTTGGTGTGCATTCGGCTGCCAGGCTCTCACACCAGCCCTAGGAGGTGTGAGACATATTTGCCCCTTTTCAGAGAAGAAAGTAGAAAGGCAGAGAGATGAAGGAAACTGTCCATATCTAGAAAGTAACGGCGCCAGGATGCAGCTTGAGATCTAAGTCCAGGGCCTGCAGTCCCTTCTTTGAGTGTCCATCGTCATGACATAAGCACAGTCACACCCTTGCTGCACACGGTGTTGTTGGCTACACATCGGACAGTGGTCCTATGGAATGCCGGTGATGCAGTTCTCAAGAGCACAACCCTGGGTCACACTGGCTGTTTCCTTATAAAAACTAAAACACCAGGGCCCGCGGGTTAAGTTGCCAGCTGTGACGCTGGCATCCCATATAGGCACCAGTTCAAGTCCTGGCTGCTCCACTTCCGATCCAGCTCCCTGCTAATGCTCCTGGGAAAGCAGCAGAAGATGGCCCAAATCCTTGGGCCCCTGCACTCACATGGGAGACCCAGAAGGAATTCCTGGCTCCTGGCTTTGGCCTGGGCTAGACTTGGTTGTTGTGGCCATTTGGGGAGTGAATCAGCAGATGGAAGATCTTTCTCTCTCTCTCTCTCCCTCTCTCTGTAACTCTGCCTGTCAAACAAATAAGTAAATTTAAAAATATATATATTTATTTATTTGTTTGGAGAGAGACATGGTCCGTCCACTAGTTCATTTCCCAGATGGCTGCAGCTGTCAGGACTGGGCCAGGCTGAAGCCAAGCCTCCCACATGGGTGGCAGGTGCCCAAGTACTTGGGCCATCATGTACTGCCCTGCCAGGTACATGGGCTAGAAGTCAGATCAGAAGCGGAGCAGCCAGGACTCCAACCTGCACTCTGATACGGGATGCTGGTACCTCAGGTGGTGGCTTAACCTGCTATGCCACAATGCCTGCCCCTAAAATAGACTTTAGTATTGTCTGTGCTGTGGGGCCTACCAGATGAGAGGGTCATATGAGATAACAGGCAGAAAGGTATTTTGTAAAGTTTATAGCCCTCAACATAGGCTTATTGTTGGTAGTAACATAGTAATGTACACCCTTTTGTGAAGAGCGCTGTTTAGTTTAAATCTTTTGCAGGTGGGGGATGGATGCATTTTCATGCATTTAGGGTCCAGTGTTTTAAATAAGGCCCTGTGTCGCTCCCCCTCTTCGTGGAGGAACGACACAGGACCCTGCGCTGTTCTTTTGTCTGCTCGGCCCTCCCCGGGTTTGCTGCTGGTTCTTCCCGGGTTGGCTACCATCCCTTCCACCTCCGTGGAAGGGCGGTTCCCCCTGCCACTTTCCCCACTTCCGCGGGGGAGCGGCACACCGCCGGCCGGCTCTCTCGGGGGCTGCACAGGTGTTCCTTCAGATAGATGTTCCTGGTGCATGTTGTCTCGCTCCTCCTTTATAATCCTCTTCCACCAATCCCAACTCTGCTACCCACACGCCGAGTACGCTGCTCTCCTCCAATCAGGAGCAGGTCCTGCTGTTTATTGGTTAAACTGGAGGCAGCTGTGTAGAAGCTGTTTCCTCCTCTCCCAGCGCCATATTGTGGGAGAGCAGATGCATAGAATAAGTCTTAATTCGAGTAACAGTCTAGTCTGAGTTGCTCCCCACAGCCCTGCCCAAGCCTGTCTTGGAGAGCATAGTATATATAGGCTTTGTAGGGCTAGGCTGCAGAACCACGGCTCACCAGTAGGTGTCAGCCTCTACCAGGACACACAGGCACTCAGCTGGGCTGCTGTGCTAAGGAGCCGGAGAACCTGCTGCACCACAGCCGCACCCCCTCCCCCACTGAGCCCCTTTTTTTCTGCTCAGTTTATTCAAAAAGGTGGCTCCCACCCTGAGCCGGGGGGCCCAGCGCTTCCAGCACAGCTAGAAATCGCCCTTCCTTCATGGCCGCACCAGTGGCTGCATCACTGCCTGGCAGCGCCGTGCTGGACCAGACTGCCCCCGCCGGCCCCGCCTGGCCACTGCTCCTGGGAGTGTCCATAGGAGCAGCAGGAAGGGCAGGCTCCCAAAGGGGCACTGCAATGGGTGGGGCTCACAGGGTGATGGATTAGCCAAGGTGGAAGGGGCATGCTGGCTCCCTGGGGGTGCATGTGTGGATGCACACAGACCCCGGTGCACACCCAAGCAGGCTTCAGAAATGGGCTGGGAAAAAGCTGCTTGTGGGTGTCAAACAGTTTTTCTTTTCCCACCAAAAGAAACATTCATAATTGTATTTTGCCAGGAGCTTTGAAAGCCCCTTTCTTGCACGTGCTCACATGTAAACGTTGGCTCAGTGGCCAGCGGCTGCTGGCAGGCTCCCCCCAACTCCTGGAGCAGGACAGGGGGCCTGGCCCTGCCTGGTCTCTCTTGCTGCAGCTCCCAGGGGAGGATGCCCTACAGAGCAGGCAGCCCCAGGCCAGGCACCTGCCCGAGGTGCGACTCACTACTGACATTAGGCACTGTACACATTTACGGTGGCTGCCATAACAGTGACCCCACACTTGGCTGCTGGAACAACAGAGCTGTGTTTTTTCAGAGTGCTGCAGGCCGCAAGTCCCACATCAACATCGCCAGGCCCAAAGCAAAGGTGTGCCAGGGCTGCGCTCCCCTTGGAGGCCCCAGGAAGAATCTGTCCATTGCTTTTTCCAGCTCCCGATGGCTGCCGACATTCCTTGGCTTGTGGCCGTGTCACTGCCACTCCTGCTCCTGTGCTACATTGCCTTGTGTCTTCTTTCTTTCTTAATTAATTAATTATTGATTGATTTTGAGAGGCAGAGAGAAAGAGCTCCCATCTGCTGGTTTGCTCCCCCCAAATGCCCTTAACAGCTTAGGATGGACTGGGCCAAAGCCAGGAATCAGGAACTCCATCTGGGTCTCCCACGTAGGTGGCAGGGACCCAACCACTTGAGCCAGCCCCTGCTGCCTCCCAGGGTGTACATTAGCAGCAAGCAAGAGTCGGGAGCTGGAGCTGGCTATGGGACACCAGGCTCTTAACCATTAGGGTGGACACCCACCACCTGTGTCTTCTCTGTGTGTCCACTCTCCCTTTACGAGGGACATGAGCGTGGTTAGGGCCTATGCATATGTCTTCACATAATCTTAACTTCTCAGGATTCTTGGTTGCATCTGCAAAGCCTTCACCATGGTGGGAAACATTTCTAGGTTCCAGGGGTGAAGAGCTGACATTTTAGGGGTCATTCTTCAGCCTCTTATGGGTAGGATTTGGGGAGGTTTTATTTGACCCTCACCACCTCCCTGAGTCATGCATTTAAACACGGAACGCCTATCAGTGTAAGACAGTGGTGGTCCGATGGTGATCCAGCCACTCAAGCTGCAGGTAACCCAACACCTATTTCTGCACTGGGTGACTCCTGCTGCCCCACATAGCCCTGCTCCCCCGTCAGTGGCAGGCAGTGTTAGGAAGTGCCAGAGAGGCACGCTTCTCTCTCGGGCCCCGCTGCACTGGGGGTTACCCAGCACAGCGGAACGGAGCAGCCCTCCTGACTTCTGGAGGGGGGCCATGTTCAGACTTGGGGTTGGCCAGAGGGGTCAGGGCCCACAGTTTCCCTCCTTGAAGCGATGGTCCTCCCGACAGGCCCGACTGGCCCAGGCACCGGAAGTCACCCCTGCCAAGAACACCTCTTCCATCCCGTACTTCTGTCTCCTTGTCACCATTCCTCCCGTGTGTTCTCACGCCGCCCTAAGAGGCCGCTGGGAAAGAGTTCCAGCTTCATAGACCAGAGAGTGGAGTTGAAGGGCAGAGGCCTGTAGGACCAGGGTGGCGGACTGTGTCGTCTTCTCCCGCTCTGGCTTGGTGGCAGGGGGGCTGGGCCCCATCGCCGGTTCATAGGCAAGGACTTCAAGCGTTGGCTGCCCCAGCCGGCAGGCTCGCTCTTTGGGGTTCGGGCATCCCCAGCCTTGTCTCCTCCTGTGTAAAGTGGACTCCCCCCACCCTGCATCTACTGCACCCCACAGCTTCCTGTTCATCTGGTTAGGAGGGGTGGGCTGTGCTCAAGGCTTGCACAGAGCAGGGACTCCCAGGGAACCCTTAACTGGGGGGGGGGGGGCTTTATAACACCAGATGTGCGCCTGCCGGGAGTGGCCGCTGGCCTGGAATTTCCAGACTCCCAGTGCAGTGAGGAACGGGAGACTGGGGATGCCTGCCCAAGAGCTGGGAGCTCCGAGCTTTGGAAAGCCTGGGAGCCAATTCCCTTCACTGCGGGTAGGGCTGGGGGCAGGGGGCTCACTCGATGGGAGATGGAGGAGGGGGCTTCCTGAGGGTACCTGCTCCCCTCCCTTCTATTTGCCCATCTGTTTGGAGACCCCAGACTCATTTGGGAGGCCCCTGGGGGATTAGCCGCAGGAGGCCAACAACAGGCTCTGAATTCCCCCTTTGTCCGGGGAAGCCAAGTGGGGAGGGGCCGGGCAGACCCCCTGCCCCCGCTGGAATGTCTGCAGCCGCGCCCCCGGCCCGCCCTTCTTTCCATCCGCCTGCCCGGCCCGCGGGTCCCACCGGCGAAGCACGAGCGCGCACGCGCACACACACACACACTCGTGCACACACAGGTACACAGACATGTGCGCGCCTCACAGACACACATGCACACACTCCCAGGCGGCCCGGCAGCCTCCCGCGCGGGTTCGGCTCCGCCTGCAGCCCGAGCTCGGGGAAGCCACCTTTGTTATTCAAATCACAGCCACGCCGCGCGCGAGCGCCGGGGCCGCGGGCTCCAGTCCGAGAACGCGCCCCCGCGGCCCCAGCCGGCCTCGGGGTTTCCCGGCCCGCGCGGGGGGCCGGGCGCGCTCCGCCGCGGGGCCGCGCCTCCCCCGCCCCCGCCTTGCGCTGCGGCTCCGCGCCCGGCCCCCTCCCCCCGCCTCCCCACCCCCTCCCCTCCCCTCCCCGGGTCCAGCCTCGGTGCAGCCGCCGTCGCCGCAGCCGTCACCGGCCCGGGTCGGTGCACGGGGACCCCGCCGGTGCCCTCCCCACAGCATGGTCCCCTCGGGGCGGAACTAGCCGGGGGCAGCGCCCGGGGCAGCGGAGCCCGGGGGGGTGGGGCGGCCGCAGCAGCGGTCATGGATGCGAGCAAGATGGTGAGTGAGCGCCGAGCTCGGCCCGGCCTCCCCCCCCCCACCCCACCCCGCGCCTTCCCCGTCGGCGCCCTCCATTGAAAGTTTCTGGATTGTTGATCCTGCCTGTTGGCCCCAACTCCGGGCGAGCCGGAGGAGGGAGCCGGGCCAGGAGTCTGGAGGCGGCTGCGCGCCGGGGCTGCCCGGAGATCTCGCCGACCCCGGGGACAGGGCCGTGGGGTTCGCTGGGGGCGCGTGGGCAGGGCTGGGGACGAGGCGGGGGAAGCCTGCTGGTTGCCCTGGGATCTCTGGGAAGAACTGGAGGGCTGGCCGGTGGGCGGGGAGGCGCAGGTGAGTGCGGAGAGAGGGCACGGCGGCGGCGCTTTCACGGTCCCAGGAATGGACCCCGGGCATGGAGCCCTTGTAAACCCCAGCCTGCGTGGGCGGGGGGAGCTACCGCTTTGGCTTCCTAAGCGTGTGACTCTGGTTCCTTTAGAGAGGGGGGCGCCCCTGCGGCCCACCCACCCCAACCCGGAGCACGGTAGGAGCCGAGGAAACGCGATTCTTTGATGGAAGGTAGCAGCCCGGGCAGGTGGCAGGGTGTGACTGGGAGGGTTCTGAAGGGAGGGGGGTGGCCTCAGGGAGTAGTGGAAACTGCAGGTGCTCCGGGGCAGGGGTCTCACTTGGCCACCACTCCGAGTGGAGATTGACAGTTGCCACCCAGATTGTAATTTAGCCCAGGATGCTGCCTGCCCTACCTTGCAGCCCTTCGGGGCCCCTGTGGCAGGGCTGCAGAGGAAGGGAGTTGCCCCCCTCCCACCATGTGGCTCTGGGGTTTGAGTTCATTGTGCACCAAATGAGGCCAGCGTCCCCAGGGGGTACCTTTCTGAGACAGCCTGACCTGTGTAGAAGGCGGGTGCCGCCTGGCCTTAGCAGCCTGCCTTGGATGGGGGCCAAGTGGGCCCCTCTCTGCCTGTGGTGGGAGGACCAGTTGCAAGCTGCCCCTGGGTAGGGGGCACCATCGCCATAGGAGATCTTCCAGTCCAGCCAGGTTGGGCAGGGCTCCTATCCGTGCCAGGAAATTTTCGCTTTCTTTGGGCATCCGTTAGCCCTCCCCCTAGAGAAGAAAATCCTCTTTGTAGCTGTGGAGGTGCGCAGGTGGGAACCTGAGCGTGGGGGGGGGGGGCACGTGTGTGGCTCTTTCCTGGAGGTGTCTCAGCAGCGCCAGGGAGTGGCCCCTCTGGGCTGTGCTTGGGCAGGGGGCTTGGGGAGTGCTCACCTGCTCACCCTGGAGGCTTCTCCTGGCTGGCACCCAGGTTCCCTCCAAAGCCTGGCGTGGGAGGAGCAGCCTGCGGGGTTTAGGGAGCTCTGGTCTTGCAGAGAGAGCCAAGTCACTTCTGACACTCCCACCTCCCTCCCTCCAGCCCGCATTAATTCAACGGCATTTATCCAGTTCCTGTCAAGCACACCAGATGAAGGACATAGTGAGAGGTCCAGGGAGATATATAGGTGCCAGCCAGCAGTTGGTGTCAGCGCAGGCCCCCATCAGAGGGCAGGGAGGGAGTGGTCTAAGAGGGGTCTGCAGTGCAGTTGGGGTGGGGGGAGCATGAGGCTGGAGCGGGCTCTGCTGAGAGCCGCAGGAGGAAGAGGGCACGGCCCACTGGGTGAACGGGAGGGCAGTTGTCTGGGCCGGAGGTTTGGGATCAGGAAATGGCCAGACCGTTGGTTGGTTGGGACCCAACCAGGAAAGGTTTGAATGGCAGCCAAGGTGTTCAGCCCCTGGCCTGGAGGCCCTGGGTAACCTCTAGAGAATTCTAAGCCTCTGAGATCTGAGATCAGGCACGCCTGATCGCCTCTTTCCTCTTTGACTTGGGATCCAAACAAAAGGGATGTTAGATTCTCATTGGTCGTTGGGCAGCCGAGCGCCCAGCCCAGAAACAATTGTCCTCAGCTCCCTGGAGAGGACATAGACCCTGGACTGTGTAGTGAGAACCTGAGCCACCCCCAGGGGATTGGCGCCGGCTTCCGCTGCCTGCAGGAGGCTGAAGCTGCGAGTTGACCATTCAAAACCCCAGTCTCGGGATTGTGAGGGTCTCACTCGCTCCAGCGGCCCTGGGCTCCTGCGTTGAGTTCAGCCACATCCTCCGTGGAGTCCAGCGTCAGCCCCGGGGCGGGGGGTGCCTCTTGCTCTTAATGAAGAAAAGCAGTGTTCACCTGCTTCCCTGCGTAAAGGTGTCTTAACTTCTGTGTCAGGGCGAAGAACCAGCCCCCAGGAGCTTAGCAAAGGTTGCAAAGAGACCTTTGAAGACTCCTCCGTCCATGGTGGTTCCTCCGATCCCCCTCCCCCCACTGCCCCCACCCCTTTAATTTCTTGATTGGCTTGCAGAGCCAGTGGCTGCTCTTGAGACCTGCCCTCTCCCAGGTCGCCTTATCTTTCTGAATGGGAGCACAAGTGACCGGAGTCAGTGGATTCGCCAGCTGGTGCCACTGATGAATTTTTGATGACATCAGATATCTGCCCCAGGGACAGCCAGTTAACCCTGCACTCGGGGATACACTACAGATGCCTTTTAGGGGGCGGTGGTGGAGTCTGTGCCTTCCCTGAACCCAGACTGTCCTTGGGAGCAGAGTCAACACTGTCAGTCCCTACAGAAGAACACAACTGTAGGGTAGATGTTGATTTTTATTTACATGTGCAAAGTGTTCGGGAGTGTACAAAGCATTTTGTTTTTTTAGAAGATTCATTTTTTATTTATTCATTTGAAAGGCAGAGTTACAGAGGGAGAAGGAGGGACAGAGAAAGGGAGAGAGCTTCCCCCCACTGGTTTACTCCTCAAATAGCCAGGAGCCAGAGGAACTCTTTCTGGGTCTCCCATGTGAGTGGCAGGGACCCGTGCACTCTGGCCGTCTTCCACTGCTTTTCCCAGGTGCATTGGCAGGGAGTTGGATTGGAAGTGGAGCATCTGGGACTTGAACTGGTGCTCCTCTGGGATGTTGGCATCGCAGGTGGTGGCTCAACTTGCTTGGCCGCAACACTGCCCTTCAGAGCCTGTTCCCTCCTGCTCTACCCGTGATGCTGTGAGGAAGGAGGCTGGAAATGCTTAGCCACGTTTTATAGAAGGACACCTGGCATTCAGAAGAGTGAGGGCCAGTGTTCCTCGCGAGGGGTGGTGTCAGGGTTTGTACCCAGTTCTCCTGGTGGCCAAAATATACACTGTGGTGACAAGATGAATAAGAGGTCAGGGCTGGGATAGTGCCGCGGGTTAAGCCGCCACCTGCAACCCTGACATCCTGTATCCAAGCACCAGTCTGGGTCCAGCTGCCCCGCATCCGATTCAGCTGCCTGCTAATGCTCCTGGGAAAGCAGTGGAAGACAACCCAAGAGCTTGGACCCCTGCTTCCGTGTGGGAGACTATTGTGAACATCTGAAGAGTGAGCCAGGGGATGGAAGATCTCTTTCTGTCTCTCCTTCTCTGCCTGCCTCTCAAATAAGTAAAATCGTTAAAAAAAAAAAAATGAGAAAGAATTGGAGACTGGATTCTAGCCAATCTCAAAAGTGGGGCAGGGTAGGTGGCCTCTGGCCCGTGGGTTCCCTGAGAAGCAGCTTCAGGGAGGGGCACTGGTGACTGGGGAATATTGGACCTCATAAATCACCTACAGCTTTTTGTTTCGAAGATTTGAAAGAGATACAGAGAGAGATCTTCCATCCGCTGATTCACTCCCCCAAATGGCCTTAACCGCCAAGGGTGAGCCAAGTCATAGCCAGGAGTTTCTTCCAGGTCTCCAACATGGGTGCAGGGATCCAAGTACTTGGGCCACCTTCTGCTGCTTTCCCAGGTGCACTAGCAGGGATTGGATTGAAAGCAGAGCAGCCAGGACTTGAACCGGTGCCCATATGGGGATGCCGGCACTGCAGGCAGAGGCTTAGCAACCATCTATGCCACTGTGCCGGCCCCTACATCTGTGTTTAAGCTGAATCTCACACTGCCTCCTCCCCAAATGTGAGACACCTAGGCCACCCCGCAGGCAGTGGGAGGGGAGAGACGGTGTTGCAGGTGTGCTGAGTAGATGATGGTGGGGCAGAGAAAAGTCTGGTCACCCCATTGTGGCGGCAGCTGGTGATGTGGGAGAAGTTAGAGACCCAGCTGGGAGAGCCCTGTGCGGAATGCTGCAGGGGCCACCCGCAGCGCAAAGGGCAGCTTAGAAGGAGGGTGCTGTCTCAGCTACAGCTACAGCTACAGCCAGCAGGGGACAGGTGGCTGGCTCGGGCAAGACCAGAGCAGTGTTCGAAGCTCTGGGTCACTAAATCCAGGTGGTGGCTCCCAGCTGGCTTTTGAGAGAATCAAATGAATTTGAAAACATCTGTGTTCCATGTATGATAGTAAGCAGTGGTTCGTGTAGGTGCGCCTAAGTCAGCAAAGGGAGACTTGTGAAATGTATGCTTTCCAGCGGTCAATTTCTTATTCTGTTGGTGTCCCTATAACAAAGTGTGGGGTAGTTATAATTAATTATCTTTTCGGTTTACTTATTTATTTGAAAGCAGAGAGAGGGCGCACTGTCTTCCATCTGCTGGTTTACTCCCCAAATGTTTGCCACAGCGGGAGCTGTGCCAGGCTGAAGCCAGGAGCCAGGAACTCCATCCTGGTCTCCCACGTAGGTGGCAGCCATTGCTTTCCTGGGCAGGGAGCCCTGTTGGAAGCAGGGCAGCTGGGACTCCACTCGGGATCTGAAGCAGGAAGCTGGCATCCCAAGCAGCAGCTTAACCCCACCGCCACACAACGCCAGCCCCCTGTAATTAGTTTTTAAAATTTTTATTTACTTGAAAGAGAGCAGACCGTGGTCCCTGCGTACTTTGTAAAGAACAGAAATGCACTTCTCAAGGCTCTGCAGCCTGGGAGTCCAAGGTCAAAGTGCTGCGGGTCGGTGTCTGATGAGGGCCCAGTCTCTGCTTCCACAGGGGCCACTGTTGCATTTGCCATGGGGCAGGGGACTCTGAGTTCACATGGCAGGAGAAGCAGAGGGGC